GATTTCTTCATTTGTTTGGCTCATGTTGAGACTTGAAGTTTTGCTCTGATGTAGTTGATTTCTTTTTTCACATAGCGCACTGTTATGAGCAGCTTTGCAGTAAAAACATTTTACTTTTCTTCTACATTCTTCGCCTTGATGTGTCTTTAGACAGATAATACATTCCTTTGTTTCCTTGAGACATTTCATTCGAGATTTCACAGTTGGATATACTTGACATTCACTGTCCCAGTGATCTTGATTACAAAATGTACATGGTCTTTTAGTTTTGTTTTCTCCCCTTTTCTTTATTGAATAAGGAATTTTCTTCTCATTATGAATTGTTGCTAGTGCTGAAGTTTCATTATATCCTTTTGGAGTTTGTTTGTATTTGGACAAAATGGGTTTTCTTTCCATTTGAGTAGGTGTAAATTGGTTTCTTACCTGTTCGTTGACTTGTATTAAGTTCCCGAAAAATCTTCTTCTAATATTGACCATGGAGAATCGTTAGTTTTCTGATGATATACTTTGTCAAGTATCCATCGCGGTAGTCGGCTTTCAACTACACTTTCTGTACTGGAATGTTCCAAATTTTCACTTCCAATTGTCGGAAGATTCTTTCCATTTTTTCAACGGTTTCAATCCATTCCTTTTCGTTTCGTTTTATGGATTGTAGTTTGTTGTATAATAATTTGGTTGTCATCGATGAGTCTCCATATTTTTCGGTCAACAATTTTCGCACAACTTCATAGTTTTCCGGGGCAATATCAAAACCTCTTACGGCTTGTAGTGCTGATCCTTTTAAACAGGAGATTAAGTAGTTTAGTTTTTGGATTTCCGGGATGGTTTGTGAGTGGACAGCAGCGTTAAAGCTACTCCAAAATTCTCTCCACTGTCGTGGATCGCCATTGAAAACAGGCAAAGATAATTGAGGAAGATTAACATTAGTATAAGTAGGTGGAGTTGGCTTCGTTATCTCTGTTGGTGATGCGTGCTGCTGGTTTGGATTTGGTGTTAATTTCTGGATTTCGGAGTCAATTTCCTTTTGATAAATAGTTAAAGTAATGACGGCTTCTTTTGCTTCATGTATTAAATTAAAAATTCCTTGTTCTCCCACCGTTACTTCTTCATATTTCTCTTCCTCCTCCTTTTTTCTTGATGTAGTAAGGGACCTTTGAAGATAATCGATCCATCTGTCATTTGCTTCTTGAAGTGATTGAATGCACATGTGTAGTCTCATAATTTTTTCTTCAAAAAGTCGCTTTCTAGCTTCATGTATTTGAAGTTGTTCTGAACATGGCAAACTTTGTTCTGGCAATCCGACATCTAGTGCCTTTACTTCTTGGAGAATGTTTATTAGTCGATTCCTTACAGGTTTTATACTCTCTAGTATAACAGAAGTCATATCAATAGGGATTTCCAATTATAATTATTTGTTATGGTTAATTTCGCAGTACCTCACCTCGGGCACCAAATAATTTTGTCGTGAGAAAATAAAAGAAAGGGAGTTAAGGTGAGGTAGATTGTTATTGTTCGTTGTAGAAGTTGTTATAATTTTAAAGGGATGACTTACAGTGTATCGGTTCGTTTTGTGCTCGCAACAGATTATCCTTTATTATCGTTTGGATACCAAATACAGTAAAGACAGGTTCAAATAATTCCAATTACAATAGAATGACTTCCAGGGTAAAGCCAGTAGAATGATGAGATTTTGTAAGGATTAGTAGATTGAAGAGTGTTTGCGTGAACTTGAGTGTGCGACAGATGGGATTTTTGCAACAATGAATAATTCTTAGGTTTTCTTATGTTTATATAAGGAGTGTGTAAGGAGAAAGGAAAGAAATACGGTGCTTAACAGATATTTAGAGATAAACATGTTGGATATAAACATGTTTATAAGATTGGATATTTCTACAGTATGCCCATCCATGTTTATAAGATTCGTTGTCATCCAGATGTGCGCAAATCTCAACATCAGATAAAGCTTCTTTAGATGATTTAAAGATTAGATAG